GTCTCTGTAGTGCTGGAGGTTGTGGGTGGCTCAGTTGTAGTAGTGGGAGTATCTGAAGTGGTAGTAAAGGTGTAGGGCTCTGTTGCAGTCGTAGTTGTCGGGATCTCAGTGGTAGTTGTGGGAGTCTCTCTGGTGGTAGTGGTGATCTCTGTGGTAGTGACTGGCATTGTAGTGGTCATAGTAGTGGTCGTAACGGTGGCTTCTGAAGTTGTAGTAGTGGTAAGTGAATCTGTGGTGGTTGTGGTTGTAGTGGGCACAGTGGTAGTAATGGGAGCCTGTGTGGTCATGATGGAGCTGGTGGTGGTAGTGGGCTCTGTGCTGGTATTGGGTGCCACTGTTGTAGTAGTGGTTGGGGCCTTTGTTGTGGTCGTGGCAGGCTCATTTGTAGTAATCGGAGACTCTGAGTTCGAAGTAGTTCGTTCTGTCGTGGTAGATGGTGCCTCTGTTGTTGTGGTGGTCTTGGTTGTAGTTATCGCATTGGTAGTAACAGTGGCGTCTGAGGTGATAGTTGTGGTGGGTGACACTGTTGTGGTTTTGATTGTGGGGGGTTCTATTGTAGTAGAGGGAGCCTCTGTGGTAGTGGTGGTTGTGGACTCTGTTGTTGTAACGATTGCCACTGTGTTGATCGGTTTTGTGGTGGCCAGTGTAGTGGTTGTAATGATAGAGTTTGATATGGTAGTAGAGGTGGGGGTCTGTGTTGTAGTAGTAGTGGTGGGGGACACTGTTGTGATCGTTATTGTGGGGGGCTCATTTGTAGTAATTGGAGCCTCTGTGGCAGTGGTGGTGGGTTCTGTGGTGGTTGTGGGAGCCTCTGCGGTTGTGGTGGGGTTTGTATTTGTCTTAGTAGTTGTAGTAATGTTTGCCTCTGATGTGGAAATCATTATTGTGGTGCCTGAGGTTGTCGTGGTTGGCTCTGTCGTGGTCGTTGTGGTGACACACCTATCGAATGAAGAAACAAACATGAGCTGCTTTTGTGTGCTACAGCAACCAGGGTGCACTCTACCATTCCTTATCTCTGAATGAGAGCCTAAATGTGGAGCTGATGGTGGCTCTATACTCCGCACACTGATCAGAGTCAGCAGGTACATGATGTGGAATAATGTGGAGCTCCAGTGAAGCAGCAGCAGGAAGCAGTCAGGATTTTTTTGATTCATGTGAACAACTCAGCTAGAAACCATATCATCCTCACTGTTTACTCATCTTGTTATGGCCATTTATGATGAACTTTTGTAAATCATAAGTTCTATCAACTTAGCTTTTCCTTGGGCAGTTAAAATATATTTTAGTTAACTTGGAATCAAAACCTGCAATTACTTTGGTAGCTTTTGGACCCGCCCATTAATTAAAGAGATTAATAAGACACAAGAGGGGTGTGGTGGAGTGGCTTTGTTTGTCAAATGTCCTGTGTGACGATGGGAGGTTGTAGAATGATTTTTTTTTACCACTTTTGAACACCTTTTGAACTTTTAAGACGAGATTAAGTTACCTTTTTTTCATCCAAGTTGTAAGAGATTTTTTTGTTATTGTTTTGTCCATTTTTGGGAAATAAACTACATATATTTTTCAAACAGTCAAGATGGAAATGCGTTCAAGAAACTGACCACCTGTTGCCACACATGGCCTTTCTTGGAATATTTGGTTTGGAACTTAGAAGGCCGCGACACATCTCTTTGCTCCATCGCACATGCATCAGACCCAGCACTTCCTGCTGCTCCTTCACAATAAAAGCTTTCCATCAAACAGATTGGAGCTCCTTCACAATAAAAGCTTTTTGTACAAATTTCTGTATCTCCAGCAAAACAGCAAAACATTTAAACATCTCCAACAATGATTTTGTTCAATCACAGCACTTTCTTTAAAATCTATATAGGTCATATTTACACTCCATTGCCGTCACAGGTCTCCATGGGTCTACAGGTGGTTGTTACAAGAACTGCAGTCTTATTGCAGGTGCGAATTGTACAGGTTGCCGTTTCAAAACTTACTACAGTATCAGGTTCATACACAACACCTAAGAAATAAGGAAAGACTGTGTTAGCTTAAAAAGTTATGGATTTGTCATTACGTTATATTCTGTAAATAAAAACAAACTAAAACATTCAAAATTTGCACATTCAAACAATCAAAAGGTTCATATTTGGATTCAGAGATTCATCGACCTTCATATCTGCAGCGGCTGATGTCTAAGAAGTCAGCAAGTTGTGATGTTGCATCATGTGTAACAGTCATTGTGGCGACTTTTGCACCTTTCAGCAAAACATCAGCTGACTACAAAACAAAAAAGTTTTAGATTCACAGAGCAGAGATGGATGGAATTAGATGTTGTGAAATGTGCACTGTCATCATGGCTTTTTCAATCCTGGACTTGGGAGTCATAATTATAAATAATTATTTTACAAACTGAAGTTTTGTAAAATGACTTACACTTGTGCCAGAGCCAGTGTACCCGAACTCCAACGCTGATTGTGGATTATAATTTGCTATAGCCATGAAGGTCTGCAAAGAAATGCCAACACCATGAGCATCTTTTCATTTAGTTAATGTTTTTTTTTCTTTTTTACAATAATTCCCAATATGTTGCTGTCATACTCAAAGATGGGTCAACATGCCTGAAATAAAAAAAATCAAAATAAAGAAAAAGCTGCAGCTTAAGTTTTGACCACTGTTCTGTACATGCAAACATTTAGAGCAATAGTTTTTAGTTGTCAAAGCATTTATTTCAGTTTAAAACTAAGAACACGTCTAACTGAGCTGAACTCACATTGCTTATGTCAAGTTCCACATGGCAGATTACACCAGCGTTGAAGTTTGGCAAACTGTTGCTGATCTCTGAGCCTCTGGAGGTGTCCTGCTGAACAATGGACAGACTTGCATCGCTTGACGGAGGAAGCAGCAAGCAGTCGCCTGCGTCTGAAGGGTCGTAAAAAGCATTGAAGCAAAGCACCGTGTTCTGACTCGTGAAGCTCCCCTGAGAGACAGAAACAAAACGATCAGCTTTCATAAAATCAGCTTTCTTTCGGCTGCTCCTTCTTCAGGCGTCGCCACAGCGAACTGAGTCGCACGAAGACTTGGCGATGTATTTTTACACCGGGTGTCCTTCCTGACACAACCACAGACACCGAGCACCCACAGCCTCTGTGTGGAGCAGAGAGCTCACATGTAGGGTGCCTGGGGGAGCAGATGGTGGGGGTTCAGAGCCTTGCTCAAGGGCCCAGTGTGGGGCAGATGAGGGTGGAGGCAGGTGTGGGTGTTTCACCAATCCCACCCACAATTTGGTGTTGTCGGTACCGGGAGTTGAACCAGCGATCTTCTGATCACAGGCCCACCTTCTCTAACCTCAGCACCACCACTCCCATGTTACATATATAAGTACTTTATCTTAATAAATGTTTTATTTTGACAAAGGGTCTTCAATTTACAGTTAAAATTCCCTCTAATAATAATAAAAATAATAATAAAAATGTTTGTACAGAGCAAAGTTTTGTCTGAGCAGGAAAAACTTGTGACTGGATGTTTTTTCATGTTTCAAAAGTGAAATAAAATTTAAATCTATGAATATGTTTCTTTTGAGCTTAGAGACCTTGATGAGGTCAGACTAATGTAAAAGATTTGACCCAAATCAAACTAAAAACATTTGTTCATATCTCACTATATTCTCTGTTTCAACTGTTCTGAGTCAAACATGAGCATTAATAATGATTATTAGATAAATACCATTAACCTGTTAATAATGATCCACTTCTGTAAAGCACCTGAAAACAATGAGTTCTTCCTCTTCACTCTACCATCCATCCATCCATCCATCCATCCATCCATCCATCCATCATCTTTACCCGCTTATTCCATTTTGGGTCACGGGGGTCGCTGGTGCCCATGTCCAGCAATCACTGTGCGAGGGGCGGGGGACACCCTGGACAGGTCTCCAGTCCATCACAGGGACACATAGAGACAAACGAGACAAACAACCATTCACTCTCTCACTCACACCTAGGGACAATTTAGAGTTACCAATCAGTCTAACATGCATGTTTTTGGTCTGTGGGAGGAAACTGGAGTACCCGGAGAAAACCCACGCATGCACGGAGAGAACATGCAAACTCCACCCAGAAAGGCCCCTGGACCGGGGTTTGAACCAAGGACCTGCTCGCTGAGAGGCAGCAGCTCTACCAGTTGCACCACCGTGCTGCCTCACTCTACCATCATTTGAATAAAATACAGTTTTTTTTCAATCTGTCCATCTGTTTTCTGTTCATCAGGTTTCTGCTGTGGTCCTTTATTGTTTTAAACATTGAACCACTGTCTCTATAAATCTGATTTAATTTTCAGATCTGCTTTTGGTGAAGTTTGTTTCCTGTGGCAGCCATCTTTTGCATTTAGTTTGGTTCAAGCATCACTTTTTGTACAAAGAAGGAAACTCAGAAGAAGAAAGTGATGGGGAATAAAGGAAGAGATTTGGAAGCAGTAGGAACTCACGTAGGCTTCTACATAGGTCTGTCCAAAATACAAGACGGGACACGAGCTGATGTCAAACCTTGTGGCACTACTGAAAGTCTGTGAAGCAGCGCCTGAAAACATGGAGACAAAGCACAAAAAACAAAAAACTGAATTTTTCATTCATGTCTATAGCCTAACCCTGACTCTTAACCAGTGGTGGGATGTGACTAAGTACAAGTACTTTGTTACTGTACTTAAGTACATTTTTCATGTATCTGTACGTTACTTAACTAGAGTTAAACATGGGTACTTTGACTTTTACACTACATTTCACATTATCTGTACTTTCTACTACACTAGATTTCTATAATGCATTGAGTTACAAGTTACATTCACATTGTGGTTTTTATTTGTTCTTTAGTTTGAAAGTAACCAATGGCAAGATGGGAGTTGGTCCACTGAATCACTGCAAAGTGGGCAGGTAACGTTAGACCCACCTTCAAGAAGAGCTGGGCCAATGACGTACATTATAGTATATACGTCATAGAGCTGGGCGCACCCACAGCACCGCTAACACACCCAAAATGGATTCCTCCGCAGAGAGTCAGTCAGAAGATACGCGCCACCCATGGCCTTATTGGAAGACTACTGAAAGACTATTGAAAGACTATTGAAAGACTATTGAAAGACTATTGAAAGACTATTGAAAGACTATTGAAAGACTGTTCCGTACAGCAGTCAAGTCACATTTATTTATATAGCACATTTAAAACAGTAGCTGTTATCAAAGTGCTTACCTGCTTACAGCAGGACAGATTCTTCCAAAAGAGCCAGACTGGACTCAGAAAACTTTGAAAACAACTTCTTCTGAACTTGAACAAGAACTTCTTGCTGCAACATTAAAATGTGTCAGTTCATGATGTTAGGGGACAAGAGATGTCTCCAAATGTCTCGACACTCTGGTCCAAGTTTTAAAAATGGTGTCAGGAAGTTAAAGTATTGTTCAGTATTGACCCATTACAAGGTTGAATAGACATATTTTAACTAGAGTTGATGACAAACTGGAGTTGATCTGATCAGAGCCTGTTCCTTTGCTAGTTGTGTCTAATGCTCCTTTTGTTCAGGCAGACAACTTTTATTGACGTGTTTACTGCAGTTAAAACAACACAATAGTTTTGCTTTGTGTTAAATAAAACTTTCAAAGGTAAAATCATTCCTCTTTCTTATTTTGATTAATGACATTTAAGTCATCTCTGAAATTCTGACGCAAATAATCACAAGTCCAAGTGTGAACGGTGTCAAAGAATAAAAACATGTATATCTGCAGCATCGTTCATTAAAATGGCTCAACACTATTAATGTGTTACAGAAAATATACATACGTATGCACACTTAACGATCTTGTAGAACACTGCATTAGGTAATACATTCTTCAAGTACTTTTACTTTTAATACTTTAAGTATTTTTAAAAGCAAGTACTTAATTACTTTTACTTAAGTAAAAACGTTAATGTGATAGTTGTACTTTTACTAAAGTACATTTGTCTATTTGTACTTTTACTTAAGTACAGTCTTTGAGTACTTTCTTTACAACTACCCTTACACAAACCCTAACCCTTACAGTACATTCTTAACCATAACCTGAACCATTACCAGTACATGCCTAACCCTAACCATTACCATTATAGGCCTAACCCAAACCATTACCAGTACATCCCTAACCCTAACCATTACTAGTACATCCCTAACCCTAACCCTAACCCAAACCATTACCAGTACATCCCTAACCCTAACCCTAACATTACCATTACATGCCTAACCATAACCTTAACCATTACCAGTACATGCCTAACCCTAACCATTACCAGTATATGCCTAACCCAAACCATTACCAGTACATGCCTAACCCTAACCATTACCAGTACATGCCTAACCCTAATCCTTACCAGTACATAGTAGTATATACATATATATA